GGGATAAGGGTGAAATTATAAATTACAATCATTGTAATGTAAAATACATTTTCTGGTTTGAAATAAGCAAAATAATTACAAAATAAGAAATGGAAAAATGAAATATATTATATTAGTTATACCTACCTACTATTACTGCATACACGATTACATGAAACACAGAGTTCTTTATGAAAACATAATACCTATATAAATTAATCAGTACCTATTCAGTAAAAAAACTAACATTTTTAGGAGTTAGTATAAACTAAAAAAGTACCTAATGTGTAAACAATAAACATAATGGTTTGAAAATCTTATAACGTTATTATGTTTAAATGCATATTTTTTAATTTATTAGCTTCTGAATATATTTTAAATAACATCTTCAAAGTTAATTGCTCCGAAACACTAATATTCTATATAGACATCTAAAATGGTTATAAATTTAAATACCTATACAATATTTATTTGCGATAACACTGACATCAATTAAATTAAATATTGTTATCTATACTTAATATAAATCAAAATGAAACTAAAAATGCGAACATAATAATATGATATAGGTACCTATAAGATATACTAAAGTAACTGTTGCATGTTGGTATAAATGTATAATGGCATCTATTATTAGAATTTGAAATAATATTTTTATGTAGGCACTTATCAGTTAAATTGTAATTAGATTAAATAAGTAGGTACACATACAGGTATTATACGCATACCCTGGTATGAACTATTTATGAGTATACTTGTTTTAAATTTTCAATTCTTAGCTATAAAAATGAAACATTTTACACCTTTTTAAATATAGAAAATAATTTTGTAATTCAACATTTGAACTTTATAAACTTCATGTTAAAAGTGCTTATGTGTCTTTAATATTTCTCAACTGAATTATAACTAAAAATTAAAAATATCAAATGTCTATAAACAGCTCAAAACGAGTTAAAATATTTATGAAAATTGTATTACGAATAGAAAATGATAAAATAAACATTTGGTGAAAATATCTAGTACCTATGTACGGTTATTCTTTTTTAACAACAAAAAAATAAGAAAATCGTTCGATGAGAATTCTTTAATTTATCTTATGTCAAAAAAATTTGAATTCAAAAATGCTCATAAAAAATTAATTCAACTTTCCAAAAAACTTTTTTTTTTGTTTAAGGTAGGAAAATGTATGGGCAATCTTGTATTAAATTTTAAAATATTAAATAGAAATAGAAACATTTTTTTGATAAATTTATGACACAATATAATTTTCATATTTTCGGGACTTTGACGAGTACCAGATGTATACCTTTTTTTTTTTTTTTTTCGTGGTATCGAGAACCAGAGGGGGGACCGCGTTAGCATTACTTCCCCTCTGGCCCCCATCGTTTATTGAATTAATCAACAACATTACATACTATAACAGTGGGACAATCCCCCACTTGCTATTATTCAACAAATAATTATTTTACAATACTGTACATGGAAGTCAGTCGGCAGGCTCCGCGGCTTGGCGTAATCTCTCCTCCTCCTCTTTGGTTGATAGAATCCCTTCCACCATGATATAGAACTGCCGAAAGGTCTCCTCAGCATTCCTCAGCAACGTCCACTTCTCGTTCGGGTCCGCCGGCAGCTGGTCGAACGGGGGGCCGCATACAATTTCTCCGATGTCGGCTGTTGATGGACTGTGTCCCAGCTGGGTGGCCAGCGGGATCCGGAACGCGCTCCAGTAGGGGCACTCCGTCAGGGTGTGCTCGGCAGTGTCCTCTTGGCTCAGGCACTGGAGGCAGATGGGGCTAGTGGCCTTGTCTCGCTTGTACAGGTAGGCCTGGAAGCAGCCGTGTCCCGAAAGTGCCTGTGACATGTGGTACGTCAGAGGCACTAGCGGGACCGTTCTTCCGAGCCAACGTCCCACTGATGGAATGCATCGTCTGGTCCACGACGCCTTTTTGGTGGTCTCCCATCTCCGCTGCCAACCAGATGTATACCTATCAGACTCTATTTATTTGCTATAAAATGAACCAACAAAGTGTGCGGCTTTTGTCTATCGACCTTTTTGGAGTCCAAATAATTTGGATCATTGTGATTTCATTATAACTTACTAATGTCAATGAAAAATAGTTCATGGAAAAATGTCAATCAGCGGTGTCAATTACAATAAAATACAATAAATATAATAATCATCTAATATGTTCTATAATATGTCTATGAACCAATGAATCCGTACTTAGATATCTACGATTGGTGCTTTTATAAAAAAATTTAATTATATTTTACATATACTGTTTTCGATTCAATAAGTAATAATAAAAAAATAAATAAATACGATTAAAGATGGTATACTGTCTGTAGCCAAGATAATATATAAGTATCTTATCTCCGTTAAGCAATGCTTGTATTGTTTTTCCATATTTTGTCAATTTTTGAACTTTAAATGCTTATAACAAAAAACTGCGACTAAGGATTTTTAATATTTTTTATCTGCCTTTGAAACAATATACTAGGAGCCTTCTATTCAATTTCCAAGCTTTATTAACCAACAAATAAAATGTTATTGATGTTGTTAGAAAAAAAACTAAAAAAAAATGGAAAATGAAAATGTCCCTAAACAGTTCAAAATAAATCAAAATATTTTTAAAATGTTATCGTGTATAGAAAATTCATATATAAACAACCAGTGAAAATGTCATGTATCTACGGACATTAGTTATAAAGTTACACCAAAACCAAATTCGATGTTGTGAAAAATCGATTTTGCGTAAAAATTCCCGTTTTTCCTTAATTTTTCTTTTGTTTTTCTTGGCGCTTTTGAAAATTACTGGGAATTTTAAATTTTGACCTCAATACACCAACGATATTC